GTGCTCATCCGGCCGCGACATTTCATGGTAAATCATGAAGCGACATTATTTTCGGGACAACCTAATATTTTATCTGCCTTTGCTAGAGAACTCCACACTGAACCTTCAGCTCGAATTCTAACATACGTCGATGACAACGGCCACGAAAAACAAATCATGGTTTCATCGGCCGAAGGTCAAGCCGATGTGTTGCTGGCAGCTCAAAACGGAAGATTGGGAGGTGATCTCAAACTGAACAGGTAGCTTGCCTTTTAGCTTTATACTTAGTCCCTTCATGCACGAAAAGAATTGTGTTTTTGATTAATCCAGGTTATCCGTTCGTCTTCACCGGTCAGCAATTCCTAACATGGATCCCTCATCTATAGAACAACTAACACCATTAGCGAAAACCTTCATTGGACCGCAGCTTAGTCAAGCTCTAAAGAAAGGAGTTCCATTTCCTTTGAAGGTAGGCGATAGTTTATGGCATCGCACTTCAATTTTCAGTGCAAGAATTTCCTCCTTCAAAATGTGTACCAAACATCGTAGTTTTGGTGTTTATTTTCAGGACTCAATCACCTTTGTCGAACCACAACTAAAAACTCGCGACGGTTACATTGAATTGGCAACGGACTTTGTTTTGAACGAGAATGCTTTGAGGAGGAAAATTAGGGAAACGTTTGCTGATATTCACATATAATAATAGATTATGTCAATGTATAGAACGTTAATTATAAATATGTATGTGCTTTTCATCGACTACTAAATAGACTATTACTACTCTACACACTGAAGTGCAATTTTGAATTCGTAGCAATGCAAAACAGTTTATATTCCTGCGATTATACAGTATGCAGAAAACGAAGATTTGCGAAAGTGAATCTTTGTCGAATTTGTCGACATTCCTTTACCATAAACAATCGGGTAGATTTTTTGCTTAATATAGTGTCCCTGCAGACGCGACAACGCTTGAGTGTCAACAACTGCCATTGCGAGTTTTCAAGCGATGTATTCTAGTGTTTTCTTTGCTTATACTTTGCCTTTCGGGTAACTCGCTGATAATGGAGAAAAGGGTAAGTTGAAGAGTAGTTTTTTTTTCGAGTAATATATCCTTAGTCTCAGGTATTATTGGAAGCTACATCGGTCAGTTTCATTTGTATAGTCATTTCATGCCTCTTCGCGTCAGTTTCATGTGTATTTTTCGTTACTTCATGCCTTCTACTATTCGTGAAGCATTTCTTCAAACGCTAGTAGGCTTTCACGCTTGCCTTGTCGTGTTCATCAATTGCCTGATCGAACGCTTTCTTTTTTAGGTGAAAGGAAGTGCTGCAGAGCCCAGTTGCTGCGTTCACAGAAACAAGAAGGAAGAGGCGTGAAGTGACAAAAAATCATAAAACTGATGCGACGTAACTTTCTCACTTACCCTTTTCTCCTTTATCAGCATCGAGTTACCTGGAAAGCAAAGATTTAGCAAAGAAAACGCTAGAAAACATAGTTAGAAAACTCACAACTATGGTTAGTAAATTATTGACGCCCAAGTCGCGTCGCGTCACAGGTACACTGTATTGAGCAGGAGATTTACTCGACTGTATGCCATATGAAGTAGCATTAAGGTCATGTTGAGTATGACCTGTTGTGATATGAGAATAGTCGTCCTTTCCCCACTAGACACTTGGTGGACGAACGAGTTGAACTGCAGCACAACGGTTGCGGCGAGCTCGGCACCGTCAAGTCAGCTTCAAGCTCATGCAGCATTTTTTTCGTGTTTTCTTACGTT